GTATAAAAAACAGAAAATCGTTTGTCACCAGCTTATCTACAGAGCAGTTAGTAATTACCTGATGCCAGCTGTTGACTATAACGTGGTCAACCAAGCTTCCGAAGGTTTTGGTGAGTCAGTATCCTTGTGAATGGCCTGGTATTGAGCTAATTCTTATTTATTTGCCAAAGTTGACCACTTCTAAGCGATAGTTTCTTTTCGACGGTCTAATTGTTGACACTACAAATTCTAATTAACACTTTGGTTATATGGGAGCAGATCATAGTAGATGATTCTCTTTCAATCCCAACAAACATATAGCAATCCCATCCTGAACGTCAATCCCACCAATCCCATCGTGAACGTCAACGGTCCTTTTGCCACCGTTTGGCCCGTTTCAGCGTGTTTCTAGAAGAAAATTCGTTCCAATCCATATTTTTACGTTAACCCGTGTGGCACCAATACTTCGAGCTTATTTCTGTTATAGCTTTATTTAAAAGGTTCCATACGGGTTTTTAAGCTTTGCCTAGCTCGTGGGCAATCGAAACAGTTACATGGCGATCGACGATTTCCAAATTTTATCTTTATATTTCATATAAAATTAAGTATCACGTTGCTTGTCCGATTTCAACAAAACTTAGCACACTGTGTACAGTTTGAACTAACTTAGAAGGTAGGATAGTAAATTCTGCCGTTACAACAACAACATAGGATAGTAAAAAAAAATTATAAACAAAATATACAGTGAAAGCTCTATTAAGCGGACAGCTCTATTACCTGATCAGAAAGGCTGGTAACCAGACATTGAGAAAGCAGCCTTAAATTCGTTATTTTATCCAATAAAATTTACTTGTATGAACATATTCATATTTAAATCTCAAGTTGAATCCCTTGAATTCTTATACCGACAAAAACGTGTTCGCCTTTATTCGTAAATAAAATTTTCACTGTATTGAATAGTTTATAATATGAATAATATTATTAAATGTATACTACAGCAACGCCTGGCTGAATCCACTAGTCTAGAATGTGGTGAATATTTTTCTTTCAAATTATTGGAACGAAATCGACAAAACCAAATTTGCGCGTGTGTGTCCGTTACAGTATCGATACAGAAACACCATTCATATTCTCAGCCATCGGACTTGCGTTTTCACATTTTGCCAAGAATTACTGCAAAATATAGCATTTTTTGTCTCTGCTGATGTCCATCTTTCAGACGTGCTCAAACAATACTGAGGCAAGCAATCACAAAACTATGAATTCTTCTCTTGTTTTTTTATCGCCATATACAAATTACTAAGGTCATCTATTAGAAAAATAATACGAGTTTTTTACTAGACCTTTAGTTTGCAATTCTTATACCTTGAAAGCCAGCATATTTAACATTTCTCCTTATCTAAAGTAGAAAAAATTTTTCGTTTGGAAATTTAAAGATTAGTCCCTCAGAAAATTGGTTAATGAGATCTGTATTTTTCGTTTGGATATTTAAAGATTAGTCCCTCAGAAAATTGGTTAATGAGATCTGTTTTTTACCATTCAGAGTTTTATTCTAGAAGATACCTTATATTCCACGACTAAAATTAACCATTCAAGAAAACATTTGATTTTTTTTTTTTACTGAACAGAAACCATGGAAATGCTTGTTCGATGTCACTGAAGTATTGTATTAGAGTACACTTTACCATCATGTATATTCCTTTATATTATTCTAATATCCTTTGTGTTGACTTTGTCAGGTATGTTTTGCAAACCTTCATTTCATCTCCGAAGTAGTTTGAGTACAGAATTAATGCTGCATGCTATGGATCCGAATTTTTGCGATCGTATACACAGACTTCAAAGTTTTCTCTCTGTCCTATATATTTTGATTTCTCACTGATGTTCACGAAGTTTGCCACTCATGCAAGAATCGTCGACAAACCTGTAAAATATATATTCATACATAAATGATCAGCATGACGAGCTGTGTTAATTTAGCCATGCCCCTCTGACCGCGATCTAAATATACAATCACTTAGTTTTGGAGATATTGATCTGAAATTTTGAATATGTTCTTTTCTTCCCAAGAAGTTGCTATTTTTTTTAGAACCGCTGATATCGAATTACTAAAGGATATACTTATATGCATTATAACAAAAACACACGGAAATTGTAATTAAATTCTCCGGGTAAATGATATCAAAAAAATGTATTTTGCTATGATTGTTGGGGGAGTTCTACTATGCCAATTACGAATTTGTCTCAAATTTTGTATTTCTAACCAAATTCCGTGTGAGGAAGCGATGCGAAGGTTGGAAAAGGCTTACGGTGATTCACTTTTATCAAAAACACAAGCCTTCGAGTGGTATAAGCCTTTAAAGATCGAACGGTCGAAAGATCGTTGAAAACATGTTCTGGATGGCCTTCGATCTCTTCAACTAATGCAAATATTAAAAAAAAGTGAAGGATATCTTCAGGCAAGTGTTACGAGAGATGGTAAGAGAGCTTGATATCTCTCGCGAGTCTATTCGAATGATTTTGGTAGATATTTTTGGTATGTAACGCGGTCTTCCCGAGCTGAATTTTTTTTGAAACATAGTGCTGTAGACAGGTCTCTGTGAATATCTTTGATCGTGCGAGTTCCGATTCCACATATACATGGAGAGCATTATAATGTAACATGGGTTTATGAGTATACCATACCGATGGTATGGACATAGCCGATACCGAAGAAACCACCCCAAAGCCGCTTAAAAATCAAGGTGATGCTCATTATTTTTTCCGATATTCGTTGTTTGGGTCATCACGAATTTATTCGGAGGGACAGAAGGTGTTTTATTTGGCCGTATTGAGGCGTTTGCGTGAGAATATCGAACACGATTGGAATTGTGAAAGAACAATTAATGGATTTTACACAATGCGCCATCGCATCGAGAAATGATTATGACCAAATTTAAAGTCAAAAACGCAACGAATACGTGTGATTTTTTTCTTGTTCCCCAAACTGAAATTGCCACTCCTGGAACCTGTTTTGCGTCGATCGAAGAGATAAAACAAAATTCGCTGAAGGAGATGAAGGCCATCCCAAAAATTGTGTATGAAAGTGTTCCGAGGACTAGGAAAAATCGATGGTACAAGTGTATTACATCGAGTGAGAATTACTTTGAAGGCGATAAAATAAATATTGATGAATAATTAAATAGTTTGCAATGTACATATATCCAAAACGTAATAAATAAAATATCAGCAATCCATTAACCACCTTCGCTCTCGCAAGAGACAGCCATCCTGAGTTTAGTGTAAAAACAAAAGAATTCAGTAATATAATTTTTATACCTGTCTCTTATACACATCTCACTTCGAAGTACAACAATCCAAGAGCAAAGGATTGGATGACGTTAGCATTATAGACCCGAATGTCGCGGAAGTGGACATATTTCTTTGTAGTTGTGTGTATTAATGAGCCCAACAATTTTTTTTTTTTTCTTWTTTAAAATGCATTTGATTTCAGCTATCTGACTATAAATCCAATCATTCCAAAATTTTACCTTTAAAAACTGCCCTTAAATAAAGCGAAAACTCGAAAAAGTATGGCTGTGCTCGTAAATGGTCATAATTTCCTAAATCATTTACAGATACATATGTATGTTAAAAGTCTTGTTTAATATTTCATATCGTACATAACCTCGTATTTCTCCAAAATAATGTTCGGAACATAATTACCAAGATTTATAATAGTCAATTAAATTACATTGAAAAAATTGCCTTTTTCGATTCCGGTTCACTTTTGGAACACCATTCGCTAGATTGTTAGACAGATTCGACGTCTTATTTATAAACCCACGACTCGTCACCAGTAATGTCTCAATTGCTGAATCTAGTTTCGTCAGATGCGTTGTGAAACATCCAGTCCGGGCCAAATTTGATCAGATGATATATGTATGTATGTATGAATTTTAAATCAACTTGAGAGAAAATTAAAACTACGAAAGTTTGTGGGTAAAATATAATTTGCTTCAGAAATTAAAAAAAAATGGTTTAGAAAATAAAGGGAAACACAGTCGCATATATCCCGGTGAAATAATTTTCACTGTCGCACAAAACAAAACCAGAAAAATCGAAATAATTTTTATGGCTAAACGCAATGTGGTGCTCTGAATATAATACATATATTACTATTTGAGTGAACGTTTTGAGTTTTTCCGTTAACATTAGTGTTAAGTTCATTTTCTAAATTCATTAAACGCATTATAAACACCACCACGTCATTGAACCTGATTTTCCACCATACTCATACAAAATTGCAAGTCGCAAGAAGATTTTGAAATGTAAACATTAAAAATTTCCAGCGCGGTAAAGAGAATCCCATCAGTAGCACAATCATCACGGATGCCATACAGGAACGTTGTGAGCTGACCTTCAATGCAATACTTACATTTTGCGTGAATTTCCTTGAAATCGAACCGAATGCGAGTCTCGAGTGCTTGGACGGCGACTCAGACGATGGACAAGACGAGTGCTTTTGCACCGTACTCTACAATGACGAGTCACACACATTCGATCAGGTCATACAGACGTTGACGAAAATTGCCAAATGCCGTCAGAAGGACGCTATGGAAATTGTGGCGAGTATCGATCGTGAAGGACGCGCCGTTGTTAAATGTGATAGCTTTAGTGAGTGTCAACAATTGCAGGAAGCAATCGAAAAACAGGCCGTCACCGTAGTACCAGGTATACCACACTCACGCGCTAATCAATCGCTACGCGTTTCCGTGCTAAATATACGCGCCGTAGCTTGTCAGCAATTTGCATTGCAATTGCTCACATGGTTTCAGGAGTTTCTTATCAAACACAGCATTTTCCGTAAGATATTCGCACGTCTAATAATGGATCGTAAATCACCCTATTGCATACGACACATACTCGAGTATGATGTGAAGCTGTGGAAGACGGCGCGTGCCTGCTGGCATCGCCTGCTCATCTCCGGCTTGCTGATGGAGTACGACAATAAAATGGCATTGGCGCAGGAATTCTCCAAACATTATGCTTCGATTGTGCAGGATTTCATACGTGACGATCACGAGCATTCATGCTCGATTGTTTCGCTGAGTGTGCAATTATTCACCGTGCCGAGTATAGCGCATTATCTAATGGCTAACGAGGGTATTTTTCACAAATTGCTACACACATTCTATCATGCATCGATAGAGACGTTCATCAAGAATAAAACACTACAATTCTCAAAGAATATAAATGCACCGTTTAAACGTGCCGCTTACATACTCTACGATTTGCGTTATATACTCAGCTTCAAGCCCGATGTATGGACGGATGGATTGCGTGAGGGTTTTCTGGAAGGTTGCAAAGCGTTGTTGAAGTTGTTGAACGTGATGCAGGGCATGGAATCGACGACACGTCAAACCGGCCAGCATATGGACTACGAACCCGAATGGGAATGCGCCTTCAATTTGCATATTAAATTAGCGACCGCTATCACTTTAGTATTAGAATGGTGTTCTACTGATTTGGCTGTGCTGACTAAACTTTATCAAATGGTAATGCGTTATCTCGTTTCGAATACTTTTATTGTGGATACCACGATTAAGCGGGAAGAACGCAATGTTGCCGGTCATGTGGCCGAATGTATAATTTATGATGTGGCTTCACGCCCCGTTTCCATACATTTACCATTGTCACGCTTCTTTGCTGGCATATACTTGCACTTGGGCGCATACGGTTTGACCTTCGACAATGCCGTTGCTGGAAACAAACGTACACCCGAGGAGATTATGGAGCCAATATTATGCACACAAACGATGATTGCTCAGGTAAGTGGTTTTTGGTAAAAGTTTTGTTAGCAAAGTTTTAATTATTCAAAAATAAATTAAAATTATAGGTGCACGCTGGCATGTGGCGTCGTAACGGCTACTCGCTACTACATCAGCTGTACTTCTATCGTATTGTACGGTGTCGCACGGAAATGTTGGATCGCGACATTATTGGCCTACAGATTGGTGCCGCTCTAATTGAGAGCAACCAATATCTGATACATATACTAAATAAATTCAATTTAATTAAGTGGATACAACCGGATTATGAGCAGAATTCAACGGCAGAAGCGGTGGATGATGACTTCCTCTTGCCGATGATTGAAGAATTTTTAGAATTACTAATCGTAATCATTGGTGAACGTTATGTACCCGGTATATCGAATGTGGCGGAAGAGGATCGTACAAAAAAGGAAATAATACAACTGCTTTGTATTAGACCATATTCGCATTCGGAGTTGAATCGCGCTCTTCCAGATGCGCTCAATGAAACGGCCGTGGAAGATGTTATCGATACTGTGGCAATTTTCAAAAAACCACAACGCTCAGATGCTAGAGGCGTTTACCAGCTCAAAGAAGAGCTGTATGAAAATTATAATATGTATTTCTATCATTATACCAAGGAGGAGAAGTCTAAATCGGAGGAGACTCAACGTCTGCGTCGTAAGAATAAAAACGAACTCGTTTGTTGCCCACCACCTAAGCTGCCCAAGTTGACCGATGGATTTGTGTAAGTTGCTGCATTATGTAATATGCTTATAAAATACTTATGTATGTTTATATTCTGACAGTTCTATTGCTAATTTGTTGCAATGTGATGTGATGATGACGATATTAACAACTGTGCTGGATCGTGCCATCGATCTAACCTCAAATAGCTTTGCGGAAAATCATTTACAAGAAGTAAGTTGAAATATTAAAACTTATGATTTTGCTTGGCCAATAACTATACCACGCAAATTATTTACAGGTACTCTTTCTAATTGGTTATGGCCTGCAAGAGGAACAATCGGGCTATTATCCATTTCTTTCATTCTATGAACAGTCACAAAAATACAATATGCTAAGTAAATTAGAAGAACTTTCGCGTAGTTCTCGTGTAAGTACTGTTGCTATAAGTACTCCAATATGGATTTTCCGAAAATTGTGTCATATATATGTTGTCCTCGTTTAGGTTGAGGCTCATCGCGATTTCATACTCTGGACAATACAAAAATTCAAGGAGCTACAGGCCAAAGGCAAAGCTAACGAAGCCGATCTCAGCGCAATGTTGGCAGACGGTGGTGAAGAAGTCGAAATATCACGACCACTCACTGCTGCCGAGAAGGAGAAGCAAGAGAAGGAGGAACGTGCACGCCTGGCTGCTGAACGCCGCGCTAAAATAATGGCACAAATGCAAAACGCCCAAAATAATTTCATGAAATCGAATGCGGAAATGTTTGCAAGTGCTAATGTACAAGCGTCCGGTAGTCATGATGCAACCACAGCAATGGAATGGCAAGAAGATGTTTCCAATATGGACGAAGAAGGTGCTGTAGCATACAATTCACAGGCTTGTTTGGGCGTGGAGCGACGTTTGCAGCAACCAGAAGAGCAGAGTTTCAAGTGTATACTCTGTTTTGAGGATTGTACCGTAAGTAAGGATGGACCGACACTCGTGTATTCGGCATTCGTACAGAAATCGAAAGTATTGCCACCCGATGCAAAATATGCATGTTCAGTACACACGAGCAGCTGTGGTCATGTGATGCATATTAATTGTTGGCAAGAATATTATACCAACGAAGAGACAAAAGAACAACGAAGGCCACATCGCAATCGTCAACCATTTCCACAAGCATCACAGAACACTGAATTTCAGTGTCCATATTGTCGTTGCCTGAGTAACTCAGTGTTGCCACTGAGTGCACCGCTATCGAAGTACTCAATGCCATTGGTTATACATAAGGGCGAGGATTTATTCCCCATAGACATGTGGATTGAAGTTATGAAAACATTGGGCGATGAATTGATTTTACCCCCCATCGAGGGAAATTTCGATCGTGTCTTGCCACTGGCTGACACAATATTGTCGCGTGCTAATCTGTATGCCAATATCGCACAGTTCGAGCGTATCGCACAACCCATTGACAAGTTGGAACTGCCGGCTAGCTGGATAACTTTTGCCCAACGCTATATCAAATCGATTCGGCAACATGCGCCCGCTGATTTTGATGATTCTGAGAAGGATGGCTTCTTGTGGCTGATACATACTTGCATCTATACAGTTCGTGCGCTGGAAGTCCACCATCGTGCAGTGGCCAAACCGTTTAAGAGTGAAATGTCCATACGACAAAAGAGTTGCATTAGCGGTTTGGTGCGTGCGTCCTGCTTGTATGGCACGAACTTAACACACACTGATGTAACAAATCTGAAACCCGCTGTGGCCGAATTATTGGACACAGTTTTCAAACAAAAGGGCAGCTGTATATTAGAATGGAGACCTTTCAGCATGATGGTACAAATGACATGTCTGGTGCCGAATATACTTTTCTCCTCTTCGCGTAAGTATTTGTTTTTCGATATTGTAAACAGGGTGTAGTTACAGTTTCCAAAGAAATTGTTCTGTCCGGGCAACTATAGCATATAGTTGCCATACAAACTGACCGTTTAAATTAAATTATTGAAAATAATATTTTGTATATGTTAAGGGTATTCTAGCTTCCATTTTCTAATTTTCATTTTGTAAGAAATGTTCTCTCAATATTTATTTCTACAGACAAATCTGTTGTGGTCAATGGCAGCATGCTGGACTTTTATGCCATGCAGTTATTCTTCCTCGCTAATATGGTGAAGGCAATTGTGCTCTTCCAACCACCAGACATGGATGTCGACGAAGACTATGACCAGGAAATCAAACAATTACCACAAAACATACGCGACAACATAGCTGAATTCTATCGTAAATATAATTTTGTTGCCCGCCAACAAGCGCACGCATATATGCAACAACAACAAGAAACACAGGCTCAGTCACAAACACAAGCGCCAGCCAAATCCGAGGAGGCATTATTACAGGAAACAAAGTCAACAGAAATCGATGCCGATCTCGAAGTTTCGATGAGCGAATATAACGCTAATAATGAATTTAAGGTACTGTGCGATTTGGGCACCATCGCCGCACTGTACGCTCACATCAAAAACCAAATGAGAGAATATTTACGTTGTTGTTGTTTGTTCTTCCACTTCGTCACCGAAGTGGAATTCCCCGATGAATTTCTTCCCGAACACAGCGACACATATGAGAATATGTGTAAATATTTAGGCTTGGAAACTGGACTGGCTGCGTATTTTGACAGTGCCGGCTGCTATGCATCCATTTTAGAGACATTTGCCACCCATCCCGATTTGGTGTACTGCGATGTGACAACGTTGAAGAAACGCTGCGGCCGTAATTTCGATTTAGTGCCCTGCACTCAACGTGTGCCAAGATTAGTTGATTTGCCCGAAGATTATAGCGATCTTATAAACAGTGTCTCGGACTTTATTTGTCCGAATAATAAGCGTGAAGAGATGAAAACGCCAACGATGTGCATGATATGCGGCAAAATTATTTGTGCACAGTCATTCTGCTGTCAACCGGAGTTGGAGGGTCGTAATGTGGGCGCTTGCACTTATCATGCCAATTCTTGCGCTGCAGAGATTTGCGTTTTTCTACGTATACGCGATTGTCAAATTGTGTATTTGGGTCGTAATAAGGGTTGCTTTGTGAATCCTCCATACTTGGATCAATACGGCGAGACTGATCAGGGCTTGAGACGTGGCAATCCGTTGCGTTTATGTCCGTTGCGCTACAACAAAATCCAACTAAATTGGCTGAGTCATACTCTACATGAGGAAATTGCCCGACTCAATGATAATACGTCCGTTGTGGCAACACAGTGGCATCACATGTAGTCTTTTTGGTCGAGGCCAACACAAAAGTTGTACGAGCAATGATGCGCTGGACACTTGAGCGCAACCGGAACGTCGTGAACACGTTGGCAACTTCTTCAACATATGTGATTTATGTGTGTGCGCGCTAAAGGAATCAACCTTATCGGGAATATTTTAGCGTGACTTCTTTTGTCTAGTACTAATTTAGAAATAGAGGGAAGAAAACATTGGAATTTCATTCCCGCTACGGTTGTATAGGTTTGCCTTTTTGGTTTTGTAAAGAACTATTTTTTTTTTTAATTTTATTTAATTTATTATAAACTAACTATAATAAAGGCAGTTGAAGTGTCTGTTAGCCAAAAATATATGAAAATACCCCGTGGGGCAGTTTAGTTGGTAGTGAATAAGATAAAATCGCAACGCTTTTCAAGATACACACACAACGTATACATACATACATATATTCTATAAACATTAACTGTGACTGTTTAACGTATCTACAAAAACAAAAACATGAAGAAGTTTGGTATAAACGAAAAACTTGAAAAAGCAAAATGAAAACCTAACTGCACACAGTACTTCTCTGGCACTCGTTAGAACTTTCGCTCTATATGCAATACTACTATTTACAAAAACAAAAAAAAATGTTATTAATTATAATTTAACTATAACGACAAACAATTGAAACGAAAAATTTAAATAAATCAAAAAACAAAGCAAAATCAAATATTTACATGTCTTGAACGTGAACGAGGTGTTGGAGGAATGTACGATTTTTTATTTTTTTAATATCACTTATTTTTTTAATATCACTTTTACCATCAAATTATTTTCATTTTAATTATTTACGTAAGCAGCCATACTTTTATCGAGTTTTATGCTATATGTTTACTCTGATGAATTTTAAATCTACTCTTGCTATGAATTGAATTCTATTTTTGACAGTGATTTTTTTTTTACATACATTTAAGAAAATCCAGGATAGCCTTCAATGCGCGTAGTGATTCACGTTTAATTTTCAATTGAATCAAGGGGCCGTCACACGGAGCTAAATCAGTGAAAATTTGGCGAAAAACTCACGAAGAATCATTGCAGTATGCGACAGTGCATTATCGTGGTGAAAAAAGCAAGAGTGTTTGGCCCGTAATTCCGGCATCTTTTTACGAATAGTTTTTGGCTCACCTTTGCCACAATTATCGGCTGAGTGATCATCAGTTTTGGTCCGAGTCGTAAACATAGATTCAAGACTTAGTGCCCGTTTCATGATATCTCGGTGGTCGAAAGCGTTGTTTCACAGACGTTAATGCGACGCTGTTTTTCAAAAAAATTGAGTGTATTCGGAACCTTTTCTTAGAACAAAATGATCTTTCGAAATAGTATTCCTGCTTCTTTCGGTATTCCAATGATACCGGTGAGATCTCTGACTGTTAATCATCGATTTTCAAGCACCAATTCCTTTATTTTATTTACGTGTTAATTATGTTCGTCAACGTGTTCTCGAATAATTTGAATAATTTGTGCCAATCAAAAACACTTGCTTGCTACAAACAATTATCACCGAAGGCATTTTGCAACATTCTGAACGTCTCGGCATCAGAAATCTGATTCCGCACAAAAATTTAATGGTACTTCTTCGCCGAAATCGCCGAATGCTCTTTATGTACTTCAGAAAGACAAGCTTATATTAAACCCTAATAACTATTTTGATGTGACCTTTGGCACAGATTTCACTGACAGTCATACCAACCAAGAAAATTTATATATTTCTTCGAATGAGTTTTTGTGCAAAATTTAAATTAGATAGTCTTACTATGTTTTGCCCAAATTATTACATTGTGGTATTATTCAAATTATTGACTAACTGCAGTTATCATTTTCCAATCTTCTGACAATTTGTGGAAGAATGAATCAAACCATTTTTTGATTTTGACTGTTCTGATCGGAAAAACATTCTAGTTAGAGCGTTCTCTACTCGGAAACAAATGGTGGGGTGGGGGAGGTCTGTATAGAGCATGAAGCAAAACTTTCCAGCCACTGTTTTCTAAATAGTTTTTATCGGTCTTACAACATGAGGACGTACGTTGAAATGGTGGATAAATGGTATTGGTGAAATGGAGCGGCAACCGCTCGTTTCAATTTGATGAGTTGTGGTCAGTAGCATTCCCCATTGGTGGTTTAACTCGGATTTAGAAGCTCGCAATACAGCACCCCTTTCAGATCTCACAAAATGTTCCACATATGATTTTTTTGCATTTGGGGTCGTAATGGATTCACAATTTTCTTTCAACTTTTCAAGGGTTCAATTCATATTCAACTCGATTTCTTCAGCAAGCTCTTCTTGTGTTCAAAAAATGCTTCATCGAGTATTGTTTCCCCATTCAAACTTTTTTTTGACAGCCCAAGCCCAGCTTGTCGTCTTCCAACTCGCTATCACCACTTTTAAATCGTTCGAAGTGTTTCGTGGATTAAACGACGTACATATTTGAATAAAAAAAAAAAAATTATCTTGTTTGGACTTCATATAAATGACATACTGAATTATATAGAAATAATGCCACTCTTATATAAACGTCTATTTTTATGTCAAAACAAACAAGTAAGAAAGGGCTAAGTTCGGGTGTCACCGAACATTTTATACTCTCGCATGATAAAGTGATAATCGAGATTTCAAGCGTCTTTGTGGTGTTAAGAAAATATTATATACCGAATTTCATTGAAATCGGTCGAGGACTTCCTGAGATATGGTTTTTGGTCCATAAGTGGGCGACGCCACGCCCATTTTCAATTTTTAAAAAAAGCCTGGATGCAGCTTTCTTCTGACATTTCTTCCGTAAAATTTACTGTTTCTGACGTTTTTTGTTAGTCGGTTAACGCACTTTTAGTGATTTTCAACATAACCTTTGTATGGGAGGCGGGCGT